GAGAAAAAAAAAAAAAAACCTCTCCCCAAAAATCCCCATCAATAATTCAATAATGTATCAAAAAGTACTGAATTGTACACTTTAAATTGGTGATTTACATGCTATGTGAATTTTTTGTTTATTTCAACTTGACCAGAGGGGGACAGATTGAGAGAGAGAAAGTGAGAAATCAAGTCCCCAAGTCCTAAACTGGAACCTGGGTCAACCGTGTGGGAGTCTAGCGTCCTTAACCACCACGCCACCTGCCGGCCCCATGGTATGTGAATTTTTCTCTCAATAAACTGCTTAACAAAATTACATAATGTATGATTCATTTCCATCAGACTCTAGAAAACGCAAACTAACGTGGTGAAAAAAGCAACCCTAACTTACTACGTTTTCTTTCATCGCCTCCATGTTTTTTTTTTCCAAATACGTTTCAAAGACTGCCTCATTGTGTTAATGCTGGTCCTGAGGAGCAAACAGAGATCTGGGGAGAAGGGATGGTTTGGGGACCCCTGGACTGAGCGATTAGGGTCGGGATCTCAGACGTCCTCCATTACCTGAAGGTGCAGTTTAAAAGCCTGCGACGCGCTGACAGCGAGCCGGCTTTTAGAACTCCACTTCCCAGGAGTTCCCGGGGGTGGAGACTGCGCCTGACCGCGCTGGTCCTGAGGAGCAAACAGAGATCTGGGGAGAAGGGATGGTTTGGGGACCCCTGGACTGAGCGATTAGGGTCGGGATCTCAGACGTCCTCCATTACCTGAAGGTGCAGTTTAAAAGCCTGCGACGCGCTGACAGCGAGCCGGCTTTTAGAACTCCACTTCCCAGGAGTTCCCGGGGGTGGAGACTGCGCCTGACCGCAGCGTGGGACTCGGCCGCTACCCGGAAGTGGCGCTGAGCTCGCGGAGCCTGCCCAGCACAACGTGAGACGCCTGGGAGGCTCCGCCAGCAGCGGCTCAACTGCCCTGGAGAACGATCAGACTTTGCCCGGTAACCTTTACTGAGAAATCCCCACTCGACCCCAAACTCCGATCTTCTCTCTTTGGGGCTCCCCAACCCCCAGGGCGATTGCCTTGGTATATGAGCCACTTTCTAGATGGAAGGAATTTGAGGGTGGGGTGAGATGTTCTTCTGTGGGGAAGGTTGAGTTTTCTCTTGTGAGGCCAATGGAGGGCATCTTTTTGTGCCCGGCTCAGGAGCCCATATGAAACCTGGGAACCAAGTCCCCTTGGTGGAGAAGGCCGTGTGGGAGGTGCCAAGCTGGCTTGTGGTATCTGTTGATGGGTCAGTAGGATTGTCTTTTGCGGTTAAGTTTTTAGGCGCAAGAGTCCTGGTTCAGGGTTGGGGAGTGTTCACATAACTTCCTTCACCCCGGAGGGTCCTAAAGCCTCCTTTGATCCTTCTTGAACCAGAGAAGACAGTCTTCAATGTGAAATGCTAACCCCGAACTGGCAGATAATTTCACTGCAGAAAGTAGTAGATAAAAATGGAGACTTTCTGCTGAACTGTTTCAGTTTCAGAAAAGCTGCAGAGCTGTTTCAAGTGAGTGTGAGACTCAGACTTGTGGGAGGGCTCAGACTTGGAGCATGTATTAGAAACAGCACTACTTCGAGCTGGACTCCTGCTTTGACAAATTGTTGGGGCTTCTCTCCTTGAGTCCTGCCTAGAAGAAAATGGACTGTACATGTGGAGAAGGATGCTTTATGATGAGCGGGGCAGATTTAGAAGAAACGTAATTCTGGGCCAGCCAGGTAGCATGATGGTTAAGGCAGCGGGATCTCACACGGCTGACTCTGCGGTTTGAGTCTTGGACCTGGTGGCTTGCAAAAACATGCTGGGTGCATGTGCGCACATATGTTTGTGTTCCCAAAATCCCAAGAGGAGAACGGAGGTGATGAGATTGTGGCATGGCCATCCCCCCTGGGGGATGGTTTCTTATTTTCTGTGTCTCTC